AACATGAAGAAAACAAATAAAAGAGACAAAAAAAAATTAAGGAAAAAATTGCAATTCAGTTGAGGTTTCACAAAATATTTATAAATGTATGGAAAATTTTATAATTTTAATTATTGAAGTTGAAAAGATTTATCACTAATAAAAAAAAAAATCTATACTGAATTTGCAATTTTCCCAAAAATTAATGACCATTGCAACAATGAACACCAACTAATTTATTACTGGATATCATGATAAATAAGACAACTATGAACAGGCTAGTGGGTTTTACTATTGTTTTCTTTTTTTTTTTGTTTTAGGTCATTTTAAGGGTTTTGAAATGTGGACCTACTTGTTCAATTTTCTTTCAAAGGGATTACAAATTCAAAATTTATATTTAAAATTTTATTTAGAAATAACAATTTATGATTCAAATTCATTTTATATATGGACTCATACTTCACCAATTTAATTTTTACCGCACAAATTATTTCTTGACAAAAATCTAGATTAAAAGAATTTTTTTTTTTTTTGGAGGGCAATTTTGGGTATGCAAATACAGCTTTGGTGCATGCATATTTCAATCAATGGAGGAATTAAAAATTATAATAATATGCAAAGTTGTCCTCCATTTCTTTTTTATTTTATTTGTATTAGGTAAGTAGAAGGGTAATTTTTTTTTTTCAGGTCCCTGGTATTAAAACTTTACAGCATAAAAGACACTTAATATTTTCATAATGTCTAAGATCCCTCAAGTTGATCCAGAGAAAATTAGTCCAGAGAAAATTGATCCAGAGGAATTTGGTCCAGAGAAAATTGATCTAGAGAAAATTCCTCAATATTTTCATAATTTCTTCACCTGTTTGAATTTGCAGCGTTACCACCATGGGTTTGTTTACATGGTCCATAGAAATTCTTTGGTTTAGACTGAATTTTCTTTGGTCTGAATTGAATTTTCTCTAGACTTTCTTTGGGTTGGTCCAGAGAATTTCTCTGGTTTGGTTGGTCTGAATTTTCTCTAGGTTGTTGGACTGAAATTTGAGAAGCTGATGCATACTTACCTTGATTGAATTACCCATAAGATTTGTGATGATTTGCCGAAATCTACCTGGATCTCCATAATACTGAAATTCTTGAATTGGGAAAATTCAGTTTAAAAACCAAAGAATTTCTCTGGATCAACCTTGAGAAACTTTAGTAAAACCAAAGAATTTCTCTGAACCAACCCAGAGAAAATTCATTTAAAAAACCAAAGAATTTCTCTAGTTTCAACCTAGAGAAAATTTAGTTAAAAAACCAAAGAAAATTCAGCTGAAATCACCTCATCATGCAGAGACAATGATTCGTTTGCTCGTCCATGCTGGGCCATCCCAACTATAATTGAAGTCCAAGAAACTATATCTCTTCGGCACATAGTATCAAAAATGGTCTTTGCTGCTACTATGTCACTACATTTAGCATACATATCAACAAGTGCATTACTAACAAATAAACTAGATTCATAACCAAGAGATAAAACTAAGCAATGAATCTATTTTCCAAGCTCCAATGCTGCTAAATTAGCTGAGGCTCCAACAATGCTTGAAAGAATAAAAGGGTCTACAATATCAACCCCTGCTCTCCTCATTTCAATGAAAAGATTAAACCCATCAATCCATTGTCCACTCTGTACCAACCCAGATATCAAAGTCGTCCAAGAAAACAAATTCTTCTCCACCATACCACGCAAGAGTTCAACAGCTTCTGATTTTCATCCACTTCGGGCATACCCAGAAATCATAACTGTCGAAGAAACTAAATTCTCCGCCAAACCAGAGAATTTCTCTGGATCAACCCAGAGAAAATTCAGTTCAAATCATAGAATTTCTCTGGACCAATCCAGAGAAAATTCACTTTAAGCCAGAAAATTTCTCCGGACCAACCCAGAGAAATTTCAATTCAAACTAGAGAATTTCTCTGGTTTCAACCCAGAAAAAATTCAGTTCAGGTGATCGTGATTTACCATTTCTTTCTGATAATGGGTCATCTGAATCAGCTTTTCACTGCCACTGCAAACCTGCCATTCCTTTGGTTCTTCATGTGAGGATTTAGCCTTAAAAGCTTCAGATACTTCTGGACCACATCCTTGGCGAAACGCTTCGACGAACCGTTCTCTGAGCTCTGCTTCCGTGAATTGCTTCTCGAACTGTTCACTCTCGCAAGCAGTGAGAAAATCGAAACTTCCTCAACCTTACATTTCTCAGCGAAACGCTTGCTCTGCTGGTGAGTCGCCAGCGACGCATCGGCGGACTCGATTTTCTCCAATTTCGGCTTCTTAAACAGCATAAACATACGAAACTTCGGCGGAGATCTCAAGAACGAAATCGGAGACAAAGGCTTGGTTCCTTTAAAAAACACATCATTAGGAGATTCAACGAAATCGGACTCGATCACGCCGTCCTTTTTTTAGCCAAATTGTTGTACGAATCTTCGTCAGTGTCCGAACCATCGTCCTTGTCTTCCTTCTCGTAAGAACCTGGCACAGCAAATTCCAAATCGAAGAAAGTCTCTTCTTCCTCATCAGATTTAACCGGCTGACGGTGGTAGAGCGGAGGGAGGAGTCGGAGGAGAAGGTGTTGAGGAAGATGTCGTAGAGGATGGTGGAGAGCAGGGTGGAGGAGCAGAGAAGAGAGAGAGGAGAGACAAATTTCTCTGATATATGTTTAGGGACCTTAGACATCAGAAAATAATTTTGTGGATCTCTTCCATTATGAAAAGTGGGAGAGGGACCGTACACTAATTTTCCCTAAGTAGAATGTCAGCATGTGACGCAGCAAGTGATATTTCTCAATAAATTCACAGTATAATTCTTTCTAAAATTTTAGAGATACAATTAGGAGTGTAAGTAGTTCAATTCAGTCGAGATTGAACAAAAATTTAACACTGAAACAAACCGTTTGCTTTTGTTAGTTGAGGAACTAAAACCAACTGTGTATTATGGTTTTGGTTTTGTGAATTTTTTTAATTTAGTATAAATGATGGCTTCAAGAAAGATTTTAAAATTTTTATAAAAATCTATAAAATTCCACGTCCAAAATAAATGAAAAGAGATGGAGAAGAATGCTTTGTAAATATCTTTCCTCTTAAGGTAAGCAGATTCCTTTCCTACATCCATATTGTTTTGTAAAGTGTAAATTTTGAAAATACCACTTCAAAAAAAATACAAAAAATGAAAAATAATCGAAGCTTAAGAAATAAAATTAAAACAACTAGCATCTAAAAAATAAATTCTGTAGTAACTCAGGTTTAATTATAAAAAATTAATTGACCAAATTAGGCTCACCACTTGTCTATTTTAGTTTTTTTTTTTTTTCACATAAATCAATTATAGAATTAAACACAACTTTCTCGCATGAATATAAAACTCATAAAAATATGAGATATATCTCCTATTAAAAGATTGTATTTAATTTTGTGATTAGTTTCTGTTTTTTAAACTTTTTTTAAATCTATTTTTGCTTTATCATTAGCAAATGGGATATGGATTTGGAAGATTGCAGGGAAGCATGTTGTGGACTGACATTTATCATTAACTTGTTGCTACACTTTTTAATGGTGACATGAAATCGTCACTCCAATAATTCAGTCCTATTGTATCTAAAAAAACAATAATAATAATTCAGTCCTATTGTATTGGATAACTCTTGTCACATGGTCTTTTAACTTTTTTTCTTTCTTTTTTTTCTTTTTTTTTTTACACCAATTTAATAGGATTTTAAAAAAATGTCAGCTCTATCCATCAGGATAATTAATCGTGAATAACCAAAAGAGCAGACTATTAATAAGTCCTAATAGTTAAACTTAATTTCTATCAATTTTTATTAAAAATAAGTCTTAGTAAAGCCATCATTAAAAATAATTTTTTGTAACATGTTTTTGCATATGTCGTTAAAATTTGACAATCAATGACTTCTTTTTTCATGTTTTTTTATAAATTGTCACTAAAATTTACAATTAGTGATGTTTTTCTATGACGAATTTTTTAAACTGTCGCTGAAAGTTAATTTGTGACAATTTTTTTAAATTGTCACTAAAACTTATACTAATTAGTGACATTTTGTGACAATTTTTAAATTGTCGTTAAAAATCAACAATTAGTGACTTTTCTAATAGTATTTGATGAACAATGTCATTAATTCTCATATGACTTATTATAGAATAAAATCGACTTATTAAGACCTGCAGGTAAGTCTCTTAACCAAAATTGCCCTTCTAATTGTTGGGTTTTCATTTGTAAGAGTGTATAAAAATGTTTTATTTTAAAGTTGCTTGTTTAACATTTATTTTTACTTGTTAGGCCATCTCTAACGGTTCATCAAACCTTGCATCAGATTTGAAATTTGGTAAAAAAGTCACTTTTTAGAGCTCCAATGATTTAAGCAAATTGGTATCAAAATGAGAATGAAATAAAAAATTCATCAAAGTGAAATAGGCTCCAGATTTCACTATTTTACTGTGCTTTACCGTTGGGAGAGACCAACCAGTCAACTAGCCGAATGCCTGGCCGGTTGACCAACCGGTCGACTGGTTCCCTTTCAAATAAGTAGGTTCAAACAGGTTAAAAAAAAAAAAAATTAAAAATTTAGTCTTACCGGTCGTCGACCCACCGGATAACCCTTCCCTCAATTCTGCATATATTTTGTTCGACAAGTTTGATGCTCACCGTTGAAGGAAGCCGTATCAAATTGAAAAAATAACCTATTTTTTATTCAAATTTGATAAAAAAAGAAATGAACAATTGGAAATGCTCTTAGTAAGTCGTATTTGTTTGGCGTCACTTCCTAGACCATGGGTCAATTTCATTTTGTTTGGTTGTCCTTTAAGTTGTTTGGCCGACTTCATGCATTAAAAGATGAGGTTTGTGACTCAATTCTCATCCTTACAATCAGATAGATATATAAAAACAAGAAACTATAATATCTATCGCATCACCAAGACTAGAGTTTTTTTTTTATTTTTATATATAGTTTTTTTAGATTAACTGAATGCGAAGAAGGCACTGAAAGTTTCAATTGGATCAGCAACAACATTTCTTTCCTTTGCCCAACAACTAATACATTGTCTTGTGCGCTTGTTACTAGCCTGACAACACTGCTTAACAATTCCCTTCCTAAAAACTAAATCAAGGTCTTTACAAGTTCCGAAATTGTTCTATTTTTAATTTTTAATTATTTTCTTAATGATTTTAAAATAAAATAAAATAAAATAAACCTTTCCCCCGTTGTAATTCCAATGCCACCCACCCACCAACTATCTTAATCCCCCGATAGAAAGGCCGCCTGACGCCGCTACAACAAAGCTCAGTCAATGCCCGAGCAGGCTATGGTTCAAAGACGAGCAGTTTCACCCCCCTCAAGTCAATTGATTTCATAGAAAGCCCCAGGATGAAACTTCTTGCAAAGTGCTTCCGCAGCTGCTTCCAATCATGGGAAGAAGGTCTTTATCATTCGAAATAACATATTGTTAAGGATTAAATATATTTTGAACTAATTGACATCATCGTGCAATTATCCCCGTACCTTGCCTTCAAAACTAATAACAAGGGGACCAGTTCTGGATTCACGATAGCAACCTTGATGTTTCAAAAAAAAATAACACAATTAGAAGAGAAAGAAACGGTTATATTATAGTTCCCAATCACAGTTAAAACTAAAGATGCTCACCTATGTAAAGATCTGGGAATTCAAGACACAGTTTTGATAGAGGTTGAGCAGTTTCTACCTGTATTAGGTAGAACACATCAAGAATCAATGACACCACAAACAAAAGCTATTGCACAACTATTTGATTAAGCATTACTCACACAAACCAAGCCTAGCAACAATTTCACCAAAACTTTCAAAATATGCAATATTGACCACTCCATTCCCATACAAATGCAATGTATACGTGTTTCCTCATTGATAAGTTCTACCTACCCCGATTCACAGAGTACCAAGGAAGAAGTAGATGGATATACCAGAAAAACTGTTGAAAGGAATTTGAACATGGCATCGGCACAAGAAGACAATGATTACCAGCCAAGTTGGCTCAAAGAATAATGATCTAACAGTTCAACAATGTCGACACTTCCTGCTAGCTTGCAATACCCAAATATTGAGTTAAGTACTCTCATGGACCTAAGTGTGAGAGTACCCATGCATGTAAAAACTAGAGCATAAAGGGAAACATGCCACCAAAAAATAAAAAATAACATAAAATAAAATAAGTGAAATATAAATATTAAATCTGACTTAGAATTCATCCACAAAATTCTTCGAGCTGGTGAGGAAAAAATTCTCGAGGTTATTATCCTTTTTATAAAATAAGTGAAATATAAATTCTCCATAAAAATTCTCCATAAAAATTCTCGAGGCTATAAAATAAGTGAAATATAAATATTAAATCTGACTTAGAATTCATCCACAAAATTCTTCGAGCTGGTGAGGAAAAAATTCTCGAGGTTATTATCCTTTTTATAAAATAAGTGAAATATAAATTCTCCATAAAAATTCTCCATAAAAATTCTCGAGGCTATAAAATAAGTGAAATATAAATATTAAATCTGACTTAGAATTCATCCACAAAATTCTTCGAGCTGGTGAGGAAAAAATTCTCGAGGTTATTATCCTTTTTATAAAATAAGTGAAATATAAATTCTCCATAAAAATTCTCCATAAAAATTCTCGAGGCTATAAAATAAGTGAAATATAAATATTAAATCTGACTTAGAATTCATCCACAAAATTCTTCGAGCTGGTGAGGAAAAAATTCTCGAGGTTATTATCCTTTTTATAAAATAAGTGAAATATAAATTCTCCATAAAAATTCTCCATAAAAATTCTCGAGGCTATAAAATAAGTGAAATATAAATATTAAATCTGACTTAGAATTCATCCACAAAATTCTTCGAGCTGGTGAGGAAAAAATTCTCGAGGTTATTATCCTTTTTATAAAATAAGTGAAATATAAATTCTCCATAAAAATTCTCCATAAAAATTCTCGAGGCTATAAAATAAGTGAAATATAAATATTAAATCTGACTTAGAATTCATCCACAAAATTCTTCGAGCTGGTGAGGAAAAAATTCTCGAGGTTATTATCCTTTTTATAAAATAAGTGAAATATAAATTCTCCATAAAAATTCTCCATAAAAATTCTCGAGGCTATAAAATAAGTGAAATATAAATATTAAATCTGACTTAGAATTCATCCACAAAATTCTTTGAGCTGGTGAGGAAAAAATTCTCGAGGAGGGCAATTAAAGCAATGTCAAAGCCTCACTCCTAACAAAAACCACATAAAAATCTTCTCAATATTATTATCCTTTTCATGACAATAAGCAACACAATTTATTCTTCAATCTCAAATTGACTCAACTTAACAAGCCTCCATCCCAATTACTTGGGGTTGAACTGTTTTCTCCGGTTAGTTCCTATTAAAAGTCATGTCCTCAATTAGTCTAAGACAATCACCTCCTTTTGTACAATCTCAACCTATGTCCTCCTTCAGCTTTCTTCTATTTTTGCTCAATTTCTAAATTGAGCAAAAATATTGCTCTTGCTATTTGTTTTATTAAATAATGCTCTATTATCTTTCCTTATTTATAACCAGGCTCTTGATTGAACCATTTTTGGCCCCCTTTTGCATTTCTATGTTCAGTTTTTGTACAGACTAACCGACAGTGAAATGGAGGGAAATTTATCCTTTTGTTATTTATATTTCGTTTTCCTGCCAGTTGTGTAAAACCCAAACAACACATAACAAGAAAAGGGAAAATTATTGTGTGTATAATGAAGGGAAATTCAAGGGTGGGCAGAAATCAAGTGGCAAACACGAAGGCAAAACAAAAAATCTTCTTTTCTAGCAGAGACTACCATACAATAACAAAATCATGGAAACTGAAAAAAAAAATAACAAAGTACAGAATAGTAAACTTGGCACGTACATCTGACTGAGTGGTTCTCAAGCGCTTAGATACAAACGGTTCCGCCAATGCTAGAAGGCCACTAGAACTTGTTAATTCAATCAGACAATCCCATTGCCCGTCCAGCTCGGTAACATTTGTTGCAGTAAGGATGATTACATTTAGACACTCGATCTACAACAAGAAACACCAATTTGACGTCAGTAAACCCACCAAAATTTCTACCTTCTGTTGGTGAGAGTCAACAATGGCAAGAACGTGAAGAGAATGGAGAGATGCCCAGCTCAGACTTCCTTCACTTGTGGTGGAAGTCCTCGTACATCATCCTTCCTTGACTCTCTCCTTTGCATGCATGTGTAATCACACACACACAAAGAACACAAACTTTACATGGTTTAGCCCAATGCCTACGTCCACAGAGCAGAAAAGAGAATTTCACCAAAATTGAGCAAAATACAAAAAATAGAGGAAGAGATAAAACTCTCACTCAACTCCCAGATTTTTCTCTCAATTTTTTGATACAATTCACCCTCTCCCTCTCGACTCTACTTATACACAAAGATGAGAGAAAGAGAGAGAGGAAGGAGACAAACCCACTAAAATTTCTACCTTATGTTGGTGAGAGTCAACAATGGCAAGAACGTGAAGAGAGGGGAGAGATGCCCAGCTCAGACTTCCGTCACTTGTAATGGAAGTCCTCGTACGTCATCCTTCCTTGACTCTCTCCTTTGCGTGCATGTGTAATCACACACACACAAAGAACACAAACTTTATGTGGTTCAGCCCAATGTCTACATCCACAGAGTAGAAAAGAGAATTTCACTAAAATTAAGCAAAATACAAAAACAGAGGAGGAGATAAAACTCTAACTCAACTCACATATTTTTCTCTTAATTTTCTGATACAATTCACCCTCTCTTTCTCTCGTCTCTATTTATACACAAAGATGAGGGAGAGAGGGGGAGATAAACCCACCAAAATTTCTACCTTCTGTTGGTGAGAGTCAACAATGGCAAGAACGTGAAGAGAATGGAGAGATGCCCAGCTCAGACTTCCTTCACTTGTGGTGGAAGTCCTCGTACATCATCCTTCCTTGACTCTCTCCTTTGCATGCATGTGTAATCACACACACACAAAGAACACAAACTTTACATGGTTTAGCCCAATGCCTACGTCCACAGAGCAGAAAAGAGAATTTCACCAAAATTGAGCAAAATACAAAAAATAGAGGAAGAGATAAAACTCTCACTCAACTCCCAGATTTTTCTCTCAATTTTTTGATACAATTCACCCTCTCCCTCTCGACTCTACTTATACACAAAGATGAGAGAAAGAGAGAGAGGAAGGAGACAAACCCACTAAAATTTCTACCTTATGTTGGTGAGAGTCAACAATGGCAAGAACGTGAAGAGAGGGGAGAGATGCCCAGCTCAGACTTCCGTCACTTGTAATGGAAGTCCTCGTACGTCATCCTTCCTTGACTCTCTCCTTTGCGTGCATGTGTAATCACACACACACAAAGAACACAAACTTTATGTGGTTCAGCCCAATGTCTACATCCACAGAGTAGAAAAGAGAATTTCACTAAAATTAAGCAAAATACAAAAACAGAGGAGGAGATAAAACTCTAACTCAACTCACATATTTTTCTCTTAATTTTCTGATACAATTCACCCTCTCTCTCTCGTCTCTATTTATACACAAAGATGAGGGAGAGAGGGGGAGATAAACCCACCAAAATTTCTACCTTCTGTTGGTGAGAGTCAACAATGGCAAGAATGTGAAGAGAATGGAGAGATGCCCAGCTCAGACTTCCTTCACTTGTGGTGGAAGTCCGCATATATCATCCTTTCTTGAATCTCTCATTTGCATGTATGTGAGTTGGAACTAACAATTCTCCCACTCCATACCCACATGCATAATTAACTTCTTACTTGAAGTCCATCCCGGCAATGTCTCTGCAAATTTCGAGTTTATCTCTCGAGACCACCTTTGTAAGCATGTCATGTGATAACCCTGTCCTGTGCTATGTTAATTGATCATGCTTATGTTTGTAATTATGTGCTTAATTAGAATTTAGGTGTTAATTACATGATTATATGTGATTTTGGCTTTGTATCTGTTCACCGTAGGAAAATCTGTTAGAATCTGTGCTTTGAACTGAAAATTGAAGGCCTTCTCGGCTACAAAAAATGAAATTGACTACGCCATTGTGATTAGCGTAATTTTTAGAACCTATAGTGAAATTTAATTGAAAATTTATTCGGAGCAAAATAATTAGATTCAGAATGGTTAATTAGAATGAAATTTCTTAAACTTAATCAATGTGATTAAGCAAGCCTATAAATAGGCTAATATACACTTAAGTCCCTCATTTTTGTGAACTCAAAATCTGAATTTGCTCTCTAGAGAGAGAGTGTGCCGATTCTAGAGAGAGAAAGAGGGAGAATTGTGCATTTTGACTCAAAGATTGTGGATTGGGAAACTACACTCAAGAATTAACAAGGATTTGTGAAGATGGAAGCTCCATGGTGAGTATTTGAGCATAAATTCATGAGTTAAGTTTGCAATTTCATGAAATCAAGTGGTATGGTAGCTCATGGCTAAGATTGAGCTGAATTTGAAGTTTAAATGAACATGCATGTGCATAATTGTTACAATTTTGGGTGTTCTAGCATGTAGCATGTTAAATATGAAGAATGGAGCACCAAACCTTACATGCACGAGTAGTTATGTGTAGCTTCGTGATTTGGAGCATTATTTGTACCAATTGTAACAGAAATGAAGTCAAAATTGACATGGGATGAAGATATGGAGTCTAAATGCATGAATTTAATGTATTGGAAGTAAGTTGGGTATAATTTGGGTTTGCATGTGATTGATCCATGGGAATTGAGCTTCAATATGTTGGAATTTGGTGTTTAATATCATGTTAGTATATGTATATGAGAGTTATGGGCTGTGAAATGCAAGAAATACCAGCTTGAATATGTGTTTGAAACTCAAGAACAGTTCTGGAAAGCTCAGAATTTATGACGTCCGCTCGAGCGTGGAAGGCGCCGCTCGAGCGGGGATTTCGAGCTCCTAGTATTTTCTGCAGGCGTGGTGTCCGCTCGAGCAGGGAGACATGTAGAGAGGCCTTCCGCTCGAGCGCCGGAGTGGATGATTGAGCGTAAATTTGACCTAACCAGTACTTTTGCAGGCCTCAAGGGTCCGCTCAAGCGGGGAAGTCCACGCTCGAACGGGGACCCTGTTTTCTGAAATTTTGAAAATGCCTTTTGTGTTCTATTTTCCGTTCCCTTTCACTTCTAAGTACTCTTAGGCATACATTAAGCATTGTAATTGAGTTAGAAGAATAAGAATTAAGCCTAAAGAGGAATATGTGAATTAAGAACGGATTGAATCGGTTGTGACCCATATGTATTATGTGATATGTAGGGTCAAGCTCTAGAGCAAATCAATCAGCCGATCACCGTGAGTAATATCTGAAATACGTTGTTGTCCAAATTGCTTACTTCTATGTAATTTTTATAAGTTCATTGATTCGTTTTGACAGAAATGAATGGGCCGAAGGCCGTTTTGACAGGAATGGATGGGCCGAAGGCCGTTTTGACATGAATGAATGGGCCGAAGGCCATTTTGACATGAATGAATGGGCCAGAGGCCAGTTTGACATAAATGAATGGGCCAGAGGCCAGTTTGACACGAACGATAGTTCGACACGAATAACAGTTTGACACGAATAACAGTTTGACATGAGTAACAGTTTGACCTGAAAGTATGAATGGGCCAAAGGCCAGTTTGATATGAATGATACGAATGGATTGGGCCTGAGGCCATATGATGTATTTGGAACCGCAGTTACTTAACTTACATATATCTATGTATGTATGTATTAGTTAGAAATATAAATTGGGCCCAAGGCCGTTTGATGTATATTATTCCAATGTATATTCCTTATTTGATATTATTCACTGGGCTATCGCTCACGCTCATTCATGTGTTTGTAGGTGAGCCAAGAGAAGTCCAAACCCAGCCCTAGTGAAGTCTGTATGGAATGACTAAGGTTTTGAAGAGTCAACTCTTGCGTCTCACGCATGAGACACGTCTTCACTCTTCTGCCATTCTATGTTATTTTGTCATGTTGGCGAGGACTTTGGTGTACGTCTGTATATAGCTTTGTTTTGGCTGACTTAGTATTGAATGATCATGTCTGTATAGAACTTTATGTTACTATACTTTCTGTTGTGAGTTATTAACATATGTATGTATGGAATGTTATGATGTGCATTTAAGCACGGCTCTATGGACAAGGTTTTAAAATTGCTTCCGTTTGGCCCCGTTAACTGTGTTAAAATACGTTTGGTTTGATTTGAGGCCGTAGGTAATCTCATGATTACTGGCCGGTTATGTCCTTAACCCACGGGGGCGGGTTCGGGTCATGACACCAGACTTACTCTAAGGACATGTTTGATTAGTAAGATTATAGTATAGGATTGAGATTGTTAGTTCATGAACTCACAATCCTATATTTAATTGCAAATTTTATTAACCAGATTATATGTACGGTGGACATTTAATCTAATGAAATTGGTCAATTTTTAATATTGAGGGGTTGGGATTATAATTGCAAATATGAAAGAAAAAAAATAAAATGAATATATAATAAATGATTATCTCACTAATTTAATTGAATAACTAATCTTACACTAATTCATAAAATTATTAATCATTTTACTATTAATTTTGTTAGTCAATTGGGGCTAAAAGTGTCCCCAGCAATCCCCCTAAACCGACCCCTTACATATTTTAGGGGTTGAAATCACTTTAAACATCTCCAACAACTCCCCTAAACAATTCCCTAAACTAGTTTTTGCTACAGTGACACCCCATTTGTAGGGAGTCACTGTAGTTTCCTTATATCTGATAAATTCTTATTTTATTTCGTTGAAGGCGTGAAGGGGAAGTCCCCTTGATGTCCCCCGGATGTCCCGTGAGTGCCCTGTAGCTGAAGAAGAAAAATTTCCAAAAATGACCTAATTGGTCGACCGCCCGGTCGACCTCCCCTATTTGTTTTCCTCTACTGTGCTGTTGGTGTTTGGTTGGCTTTTTATTATTTTATTATTAAAAAAAATATTTAAATTTAAAAGTAATTAAAAATATTATTTTAATATAATAGAGAAAGAATTGAAAGTTTGATGGGAAAAGTAAATGAAAAAGTGATTTTTAAAACAGAGAATGAATTTTTTAACAATATTTTAAGGTAAAATTTAAATAAGGGTAAATCACACTGACACCCCCTGAGGTTTATGTTTATTACAGTTCCCCCCTCACCTTTTGAAAATTACATCTCCCTCCCTGAGATTTAAAGTTTAATTACAGATTCTTCCCTCAACAATTTAATTTTTTTTAAATACCAATTTTGCCCTCACAGCGTAAATTAAATTAACACCCCTCACATTTTATAAATTACAATTCTCTCCCTAAAGTTTAAAGTAGTATTACCAATTGTCCCTTGGTTAGTATTAGTTGGAAAAAAAATTCATTAAAAAAAAATTATTTGAAAAAAAAATTATTAGAAAATTTTTTAAATTTCTGTTTAAAAAACAACATAAACTCATTTTTTGAATTTACATTTTTTGCTCAAATTTACAAACTAAGACAGCCATTTATAACCTAAAAAAATTATCAAACAAGTTCTTATGACAGTTTTTTTAATTTTTGTAAATATAAATTGAAAAC